TTGATCTATTTCGCTGGTTGAAATGGCTCTGTCTTCAGTAGAGCTATCCGAGAACGGAAAAAGCATTTGATAACTAATAGAAAGTTGCATTGGTCATATATGTTGTGAATTCTGTATTTTATATGTTATAGCTAAATACATCTTCACTGAACATGACCTAATTTTTCGGTGCCACGCATGGCTTCAAAGCTCGATGCTTGCATATTTTTGCAAAAGAGTGAATAGAGAACTTAGGGAAGCAGATGGCGTTGCGTAACATTTCGTAATATTTGGAATGTCAGAGGGGGACTGTGCATTGATATGGACAGCTGTTGATGGAAATGATGGCTGGAGAGGGTTACATTTCTTTTTGTTAAGCCAAGTTAATCTTGAATATTTTTCCCTCAGAAAATTCTTTCGAGACGGTATCTCCATTCATAATAGCTTCCTGCATATACAACCAGCAAATACACAATTGTGCATAGGAGAAGAAAATAATCATAAAAAAATTAACTATATATTGTTTAAAATGCGAACAAGGTAAGGAAGAGCACTATTTTGAAATCTTAGCGTTTTACATTTAAAAGTGTCATATTTGTTTGAGTTTCTCAAATTGTATCTATTTTCTCTTTTAACCGGTCACCAATCATTAAGAACAGGGTGTTTTTCTAAAGATATAACAAAATGTTCACAGAGTTGTTTTCTTCTTGCTTCAAGTGTGGTCAAGTTACACAATGAAAGAGCATTGACATATGTTATATAGTCACCTCCCAATATTATTCTAAGGACTCTCTTATGTATTCGTTCTAAATTTAATATTTGCACTTGAGTAATATTTCCATTAAAAACAGGGACGCAATAATCAAGTACTGGTCTTATGTATCCCATGTATATAGTTAAAAGGTCATTGCGAGGAAAATTAAATGATTTCAATCTACGGAGCATATACAATTTCCTATTACACCTTAAAGTGCGGGTTCTTAGAAAATCACAAATATGGCAAATAGCGTATTAATAGAAACTGGTAAGCTAACAGATGGCCATCATGCAAATTTTAGGTTAACTACATATCGGGTGATTTATAAAAATACAAATAAAACAACCTCCATAGCATATGGGATATGCGAGAGATTCGCCGGAAAAATAACGATGTTTTAATGCCGTCACAATATGAACCAAACCTGCCCAAGCAGACGACATCCCGCAAAGAATGAACATGATTGCAATGCTTTGATTTCTCAAATTATAATGAGTTTAGTGTATATAAATGTGATGGAATTTTACACCATTCAAAGAGGGATATGACCCCCATTCTGATAACTAAAATCTTTAGTTTGTAAATACACAGGATAGGGGTTAATGAACTATCAAAGAAACCACACTTTCAAATTAAAAAACCTCCGGAATGATAGCAGGAACGTCATTTGTTCCCTCTTGAAACGCCGAACATGCCGCGGTGTGTGCAGCTGAAAATACAATGGCGTCTTATTTTGTTTACAAGCGACGGATTCCTTTTTCTTTTTTATCCTTGCATTTTTCATCAAAATAATACCATGCAAGGTGTTTAGAGTGAGGCAACAGATTAAACATTTCGCCTGAGGGTATTGAAGTAAGAGAAATAACTGCAGAAAAGATGACAAAACAGGCACTGAAATTGTGTGAGATGTCATGGGACATCGTCTGCTTGTGCACGTCATGTTCAACATTTGACGTCATATATCTCAGCAGCTACTGGAGAGCTTTTCAGGTGCTATGTCGGGGCTGTATCTAAGCGTTTTGTAATTGTTAAAAATCATTACTTCAAATGTTTCTAAGCATTGGCTTTTGATAAACTTGGCCAATCAAAGTGTCTCCTTTGCAATAATGACATTAAAATTAGTTTTTTTAATCAATGAACCTTCTGTTTAACATTGTATCTTTGATATCTAAGTCCCATTTGAGATTACTTTGTACAAAGACCCCAAGAATTTTAGCAAATTTCACTGTATCTAATTCAACATTCCCAATAAGTAAATTTTCAATCATTGGTGGTCGTTTCATAAAAGTAATAACCATGGCATGACATTTGGCTACATTTAATTTCATATTATTTACACTAGTCCATTGTTGAAAGTTATTAAGAGATTCTTGCATTCTTGAAATTTGAGTACATTTTCTACTTTCAACAAGTGTAAGATCATCAACATACTTATAATATGATATAATTTCATCTTTACAAGCATCATTTATCATTATCAAAAATAGTACAGGGCCTAGTTTAGTTCCTTGGGGCACACCAGTATGAATCAATTGTGAATCAGAAGTTGTGCCTCTATATTTCATACATTGGGTCCTATTTTATAAAAAATTAACAACTAATGAAATTACACAGGTCCTGACTCCCAAGTCAATTAATTTTCTAATTAAAATGTTGTGGTCTATTCGATCGAAAGCCTTAGATAGATCAGTTAAAACTAATGTAAATATAGACTTGGGTGAATCAGCATTTTCATACAATTGGTGTAGCAATTTAATCAGATAATGACAAGTTGATACCATTGGTCGATTTCCATATTGATGTATATCAATTTTTCCATTAATATCTTCCAGTACCCACTTGACAATAAAGGATTCACAAATTTTAGCAAAGTGACTTGTTAAAGCTATCGGTCTAAGATCAGTAATTGTGAGTGTGTTTTTCTTAGGTATAGGAACAATTTGTGCATGTTTCCAAGAGTTAGGAATAATACAAATTTCAAAAGACACATTAAGAATATCGGCTAATGGTACACATAATTCATAAGAAAATTCACGAAGAATTCTTACTGGTAAATCTCCCGTTATACTAGATTTTTGTAAATTTATTTTATTAAGCAAATTATATACTTGTTGACATTCAATGAAAGGACATCTTACAGGTGATGGCAAGTATGCAGGTAAAAATGAGCTATCAAGATGAGGCAAATCTTCAGCAATAGATATAAAATGTTCCTTAATTCCGTTAACAGTTTCAGTATAGCAGTTTGGATTACTAGAGTCAATTCCAGGAATGTCTACAGCAGTCTGTTCTTTTCTGCCTTGAGTGAGAATTTTTATTTTGTTATGCCAACCAGCAGGATCATCTCTCTTTAAATTGCTTATCCTGGTATTATGGTAATTACTTTTAGCTAATGGTATTGCTTTAGGAACTTTGTTCTTAAAGTGACGCCACAGTGGTTTATTGTCTTGGCACCAAGCTCTTTGTCGGTTTTGTATTGTTGACTTAATATCTGGTGTCATCCAAGGTTTATCGTCCTCATGGAAACGAATCTCACGTACTGGGAGGCTGTCATCAAGATGTTCCTGAACTGTACTTAGTAAAATTGTCAACTTATCATTGACGCCGGTTGCTTGGAGAACTTCTTCCCAGGAATGTTGGGTTATCCAAGATCCAAAAACTCTTCGACCACTATCCGTCAAAGGTCGAACAATTTTTTGCGTATTTTATTTGAACGGTTAGCTTGAGGAAAACGTGGTTGCTACAAAACACAGTTGTGGTCACTATTAGCTATTGGACATAAAATCTCAGGTGAGTGATATGATAATGAATAATTTGTAATAATCATATCTAAAATATTTTCTCCTCTTGTTGGTTGCTGTACAACTTGCTTAAATCGTTGATCTTGTAGAACGGGCTCAATATCGAGATCATTAAAATCACCAATTATGGATATTCCGGCTCCAGGATATCGAATTAGTAGTTCATCAATGGTAGAAGTAATGTGATCGATATAATCCGGTGAGAGCGGGTCCCTGGGTGGGAAGTAGATCACGCAGATTATAATAGAGGATACTTGGCGTGGTAATCTTGGTGGTCTCATCTGGATCCACAGGACCTCTAGGCCGTCAGGAACTTGTACTGGAAGTTGTTTGCAGTTGAGTCGTTGTTTACCGTAAAGCGCGACGCCGCCACCAACACGATCCTTTCGGGATTTGAAAAATAGATTGTAATTTGACAATGAAAAAAGCTGCAGAGGGGTATTTTCGTTGAACCAAGTCTCTGTAATTGCAATTAAGTCAGCATTATTTATATCAGCAACAACTGACATATCATCAAACTTGTTTTGTAATGATCTAGCATTCAATAAAAGGGCAGAGGGTAGATCATACTTCTGTTTCCTATTCTGATGTGTAGAAGTTTTCTCAATATGTATTGTAATAAGGCATTTGTTTCTATCTTGTTGGATATGCCTATTACTAGTTCGTTTAGTAATTCGTTGTCGAACAAGGACAGATATTTGTTTCCGATTCCGTGAATGATTGCCTCCTCTCTTACCTCGGTGGGGAGCAGGTTTGCTATTGATGCCCAGGTGTTTGATGATGTCCCACGTAGCAGGGGGTAGTTTGGTGCGTGTACATGTTGTCCTTATATCATGTAAAGATGAGATGGGATATCTACGGATTTGAGATATTTGTCCATTTTCATTGATGTTGCCGTTGAGTCGAGGTCCAGGGATGCTCTCAACGTCTCCACATCGTTCACTACGAAAAGTTGATATCGAGTTGTTATAATATTGAATCCGTCTTCCGACGAATTTATGGTGGACAAGTTTGGTTCCAATGCCATGAACATAACCATCATTGAAGTCGTGAATAGGCGAGTTTATTTCAAATAGTGGTAGGGTTACGTTTATCAAAAACAGAGTGTTCCGAAACTTGTTGTACCGGTAATTATATGGGTGGTACACATTACAGAGCAGCAAGCACAAAATCATTAAGTCTTTTAACTTCATCTTCCATGGTTCCAAGTAAACAAACTGATATAAAACTTTGCGTGACTACGATTTTAGTGAATCAGTCATCAATACGGATTGCGCGCCAACCCGGTACACTTAAAGTCAATAAAATTGCCGTATTCATGAGGCTATGTTACTCCGGTCTCATCGTTCGTGCAGTTTGACCACAGGTGAATGGGCTATTTGGACGACCCCCCCCCCCCTCCCTCTATACATCCACCATTGAACTGGTGACAAGTACAAGTTATTTCTTCTTATATTTTACAGCTTTCTTTTTACGCCCCCTCCTGAAAAAGACGACGTGTAGAGTACTGACGATGATCGGTGGATGTCTGTCTGGTTTCGGCTTCTGTATCTGCTCGATCAGTGGCAATGCTGCTCTATTCACCAGTGGGATAGCGGTGGCAGGTATGGTATAGTTCATAGGAAGGAAGTTCAATCTAGGTCACCTGACTCTTCGATCGTTTTTCCTCCAGGCGCCAATTGTCTGTTTTGGGTCCGTTATGTCAACTAATGTATGACTAGAAACTGGTAAGCTAACAGATGGCCATCGTACAAGTTTTAGGTCAACTACATATCGGGTGATTTATAAAAATACAAATACAACCACCTGCATAGCAGATGGGATATACGAGAGATTCACCGGAAAAAAACCGATGTTTTAATGACGTCAGTATATGTACCAATACTGCCCAAGCAGACGACATCCCATAAAGAATGAACATAATTGCAAAGCTTTTATTTGTCAAATTATAATGAGTTTAGTGTATATAAATGTGATGGCATGTCAAACCATTGAAAAGGGGATATGACCCAATTCCGATAACTAAAATCTTTTGCTTGTAAATACACAGGATAGGGGTTAATTAACAATCAAAGAACCCCCCCCCCCCCTTGGCATTTTTTATGTGTGTATTTTTAAGAAAACCCCCCTAAAACCCCCCTTTGTTTTGTTTAACCCCCCCCCCCCCCCCTGAAAAAATCCTGCGTACGCCCCTGGTGCAGCTGAATATTCAATGGCGTCTTATTTTGTTTACAAGCGAAAGATTCCTTTATTTTTGTATCGCTGCATTTGTCATCAAATAAAACCATGTGCGGGGTTTAGAGTGAGGCAATGGATTATACACTTAGCCTGACGGTATTGAAGTAAGAGAAAGAACTCAAGAGAAGATGAAAACACAGGCACTGAAAATGTGTGAGATGTCATGGGATATCATCTGCTTGTGCATATCGTGTCCATACTGTGATCTCACACACCTCAGTAGCGTTCGGAGAGCTCTTCAGGTGCTTTGCCGGGGCTGTATTTAAGCGTTTTATAATTTATAATAATCACTACTTCGAATTTTTCCAAGCATTGACTTTTGATAACCTTGTCGAATCAAAGTTTCAACTTTGTAATAATGAAATTAAGTTAGTATTTAAAATCAATGAATATCTACTTCATGGTCTTTCTCTCTTCCTTCGTATCTCCACTATCCTAGATCCTACATACTTCGAATAAATTCCTTTAGATTAAAGATGTTCTTTCATGTGCGACGTATAATAATTATAATTAACTTAATTATAATGATCATGATATTTCTGGTTTACCGAGAGTATAGGCTTATCAGTATTAATACCGTTTAATTCTCTCTGAGGGCCGTTAAATCACAGCATTACCCCCCCCCCCCCCCCCCCGGCGACCTTAGCCGAGCTACCATAAAAATTCACTCAAGCATTCAAGCAATTTCTTCCTGCCGGGTACCCATTTACCTGATTGTAGTCAGGCAAATCTAGATAAATATCTTACAAAAAAAGACGTTATTATTTCAACTTTAGAATAAATTCTGATTGCGCATAATTATTTATTCTCGTGTACCCGTTTTTGTATCCAGTGCTCTTGCATGATTTGTGAATGACAACAATATTCAATAATTTGTATGATTTGTAATATTATCAGTCTAGGGCTGCGAGGTGTAGTCGAATGCTCGAGTACCCGCACGGTTGACAACTACTCGGGTACAATTTCTGGTACCCGAATATTCAGCCGCAAAAAAAAATTAAAAAATAAATAAATAAAAATAAAAAATCTGTCCAGACCGACGCTTACCCGTGTCTGGGTGAGCGGCGGCCGCTGGCATGGTGCCGTCGGTAAAAATGTTTCCCAACTCAAGCACTGTCAAACTCACCACTCAGAAACTGGGACCAAATGTCTGGATTTCTATTTGGACTTGGAGGAAAATGGATTATTCTGCCATCTTTGGTTTTTAAAACAGCATTGTTTACTGTTATTATTATTATTATTAAATCGGCGCCTTCAACTGCAACTCGAAGTAAAATTGCATGCGTTTTCGGCGACAGAACTGGGATACTGCTCCAATGGTATGTATGGTGGTAAGCTTGTAAGCCTGGGAGTGTACTCGGGTACCTCATTACACTGTTGTAATTTTATTCACTGTCAATAGAATTGCTTTAGCCGTACTCAAACGTATCTTCAGGATTTGATTTTAAATGAATCTTTCTCGTGTGCAACAAATATGTTCGTCACAAAAATAACAAAATGCCAAAACTCATTCGTTCAATTCCTTTATGTCATGTTTTTAGCTCATGCGGCCCGAAGGGCCCGATGAGCCCGATGAGCTTATGCCATTGCCATTGCCATATGCCATTGCCGTCGTCCGTCCTTCCGTCCGTCCACAGTTTTCAAAATGCTTCTTCTTCCTTATTTTTCAACCGATTTTGATTCTGATTGTTTCATATGATAGGGCTAGGAGGGTGATTTAAAACTTCTACATAGAATTGTGAAATTCATTATCTATGCTAATTTATGCAAATTTATTCGAAAAAATAATTTAAAAATCACAAAAAATGCTTCCTCTCCTTCATTTTACGACCGATTTTGATTTGGTTTGCTTTATATCGCAGAGCTAACTTTGGTACACTAAACATCTACACAGAATTTTGAAATTGTTCTCCATTAATTAATTATGGTAATTTATGCAAATTTATTCCAAAAATAACAACAATTGCTTCTTCTCCCTCATTTCTTGACCGATTTTGATTTGGTTTGTCTTATCTGGTAGAGCTAAATTTGGAACACTAAACTTCTACACAGAATTTTGAGATTTTGCTTCATTGATTATTTATGGTAATTTATGTAAATTTGTTCCAAAAATAATTAAAAAATCACAAAAAATGCTTCTTCTCCTTCATATTTTTACCGATTTTGATTTGATTTGCTTTATATCAAAGAGCTAACTTTGTTATACTATACCTCTACGCAGAATTTTGAAATTTTGTCATTTCTTGACCGATTTGGATTTGGTTTGCTTTATCTGGTAGAGCTAAATTTGGTTTACTAAAATTCTACACTCCTGGGCATCAAATTTTTATTTTTTTACCAGTTCAAAAGTGTACCACATAACATTTACGATATTTGTTGTTGCGAGATGCGGATGAGCGCGACGTCATTGACGTTCTGTTTTTTTTAAGGAGCAAGTGACGTAGATCTGTGACACAAAATTTAACAAAGTTCTTTAGTTCGTGTTTTCGTTTTATGTTTAATTTCATTCGTCCGTCCTCTTTATTCTTCTTTATCTCTTTCGCAATTTTTCATACTATCTTTGTGTTTCTGCATAACTCTCTCTTTCTCTCTCTCTCTCTCTCTCTACACCTCTTTCTCTCTCGCCCTTCTTCCATCCTACTACATCACAGGATTCGGTTACAGTTTTATGATCATCTCAAACGTCGTCATCATCAAGACCTACTTTCCAGACTCTTTCCCAATCGCCATAAGCTTCAGTTTATCCGCCGGTGCCGTCGGGATGATGCTGATCCCTGTCATTACGGAGAAACTTGCAAACATCTACGGATGGCGAGGCTCTCTTCTGCTCATTGCAGCCATGAACTTCCATAACGTCCTGGCAGGAGCCCTCTTTAGACCACTTACATCAACTCGGCACAAACATTCCTACTCTACAAAACACGATGGTACTGCTGATAGTGCCAGAGAAAGAAGGACAGTAGAGAATTCAAACAGCTTCAGGAGTGATGAGAAGACTACATACAGAGGCCAATATTCTCCTGTAAATGCACCCGAACAGGGATGTTCAGAAAACAAAGAAACACAGTCGGGAGCGAACTCCTGTCTCGATTCCAAGAAAAGGATGACCGTCATACAGAATTGCGAACAGAGCTTGGGTGTAAGTGAGCGTAACGATGAAATATCTGAAGAGGATCGACTGATTCCTAAGGGGCAGTCGAGGAGGAAACCTGACGATTTTAAGAGCGGGTCAGTCGAAGAGGAGTCCAAAGCGACAACGGTAGACGGTGGTTGCATGAGGAGTTTGATCGAACTATTTGATTTGAGACTGCTATATGATTTTCCTGCCTTAAACCCGATAATGATTGCTGTACTGTTGTCTGGGGCGACCACCACAGGCTGGGTGGCTTTTTTGTTGCCCAACGCTCTGGAGAAGGGATACAATATGGATAAAGCCATACTGCTTGCTTCAGTAGGAGGTAAAGCTTTCACTTTTCTATTCTTTTTTTTATAGACACAACTTGGGATGGATCTAATGCATGCATGTTGGACTTTTCTGCCCTTGTTCCCAAATATAAGTATATTTAAGTTTTTGTTTATTGTCTAAATTCCTTGAGAGGGACTGCACCCCCCCCCCCCCTATCCCATGCTCGGATAGCACACTTACATCTCTAGTTTTGTTTCTATATCCATAACGATGTACCTCTGAAATTTAAATTTCGATATAGGTCTTTGGAACTTCATTGGTCGATTTTGCATCGGCTACATGCTCGGTAAGCGGACCACTGCGAGGACCATGTTCGTCATCTGCAATCTCATCTGCGGTGTAGCCTTCTGCCTGGACTACGTCACGACCACGTTCTGGGGTCTGTCCATCCTGTCGGCGTTAAACGGATCAACCATCGGGGCTTTGACGGTTCTTATCTCCCTGATGATTGAGGAGATCGTTGACGAGTCGAGATTCACCTCAGGGGTTGCTCTGGCATTTTTATTTCTAGGACTTGGTGAAATCGTCGGAGGTTTATTCGCAGGTGGGTCCTGCTGGTGAAGAATCAGCCTTGTGCTAAAACTACACAATATAACAGCACACTGCCTAACAATTTACAAACTGAAATGTGGCCATTTTAGAAATATAACCATGATCGGTTCCAATGCTTTCAAGTGCCCCAATTCTAGATAAATCATTTAATAATTTCGTTTTTATCATATTCGGGTATTCTAAATTAACTGTCTCCCTGTAGTCAAATGGTGAATGCATTTACTTTACAATGCTGGAAAAAATAATAGGTCTGTTTTGAAATATTCAAGTAACATAATTATCTTTTCTAATGTGAATACTTTTTAGTTATCAGGCACAAGCCCAATCGCCGTGCTTATCAAACAGTGTCTGTACTGTGAGACTATGATGACAGCATACTGAATAGGCTCTATACTTGAGCTGCTCCAGGCATAGTCTGATAGAGCTAGACTCTACTCAAAGCCTTAGGAATTGTGATAAAGTTCAAAATACATGTAGAGTCTGTGCAGACTAGATACAATGTACTTTGTGGACAGATGCATGAGTAAACTGTGCAGGGTGAGAGAGTTCCTGTTTCACGTTGATGGCGTAAATCTGACGGTGCAAATCCACCAAATTGGTGCCGGTGTTTAATGAAACAAAGTGTTAATGAAAGTGACTTGTGGAAAACTTAAGCCCCCGTATGTCTCGAAATGTATTTTCTTTATTTTACCAAACTCTCCCTTTGTTCATTTTTACTCGTAGGATGGCTGTATGACATAAGCCATACTTACGTCATCGCCTTTATCGCCTTGGGAGTGTTAAATGTCCTGGGAGCTCTTCTGACGGCAATTGTGACCTTCCTTCCGTGCTCTCTATTCCGAACTCGACATCTGGATGATAAAGAATAAAGTGTCTGTTGCACACGAGGCGCTTTCCACTGACGCAGGTTTGCGCCAGCGGTTGGCGTTGTCTGTGACGCATCGCGTGGGGGTTTGCATCATTTAAATAGTGGATGCGAATGAACAGTGCCATTATCGGTTTGAATTACTAGTCCACACTGTGGATTACATACTGTGAGACTTTATGTGAAAACGCTCTTCCATACTGTGTTACTTGGGGGAGACTCAATGTGTAAACGCCGTCCCATACTTTGTAACACAGCGTGGAACTTTTTATGAAGAAAACATATATGCCATACTGTGTAACAATCACAATATGAAACATTATATACCTCACTTAAGAAATCCAGCCATCTGATTGATCGAAATTGCCGTCATGGTTTTAACCATTCCCGTAAATTAACGAAAAATGCAACGCCCATGTAATAGTTCGAGGGTAAAATTCAAGTTACTGCGAATAGTTCAGTCTTGCTTAAAAACTAGTTTGAGCGATCGCGGATACCATACATTGTGTGTGTGCGAAGAATTGGTCGCTAGACAGCAAGAACACCAGGAGGGTAGGCCCTGCGTTTTATTAATAGCCGTAGATCTAGGTCTAGATAAAGATTGTGATTTTATTGCATGCGATAACGGTGATACAGGTATTGAAGATTGTATAATGAAAGTGTTTGAATTCATTTGGTGGATGAAAAGTTGAATTCTACGCCGTTTTGCGCGTCATAATTATTGCAGCGCTGAATTTGGTGTGTTTGTCGCTAATTTCTGACAAATTTAGATAGCTTTCCTGATGGTATTTCATGCAAAATTTCTGTTATATTGATAAGCACTGATTCTTGGCCTTACCTTTAACTTGTTTCTTGTCTGTTATAGTCATTTAATAGATGAATTACTTGAATTCTGAGCACATTTCAGTAACACAAAAAATCCAGCCCGTGCATAGTCCCACAAACGTATTTGTATGTACCTTGTGCCCTTACACTGTATGCTGTCTCGATTATCATGATTGGTAAGTCTCACATGTATTCTATGACCCTTTTTGGAATATAAATGTATTAATGACTGCTTTAATAAAAGCAGTCATTAATACTATACTATTTCATACTCTATGTATCAGTGTGGGACTCTATATGGAGAACAAACTATTCCATATTGTGTGACAATCACAGTCACAGTATGGAACTTTATGTGAAAACACTATTTCTATGTGAACACACTATCCCACACAGAGTAATATATTCTGAGAGTCTTTGTTAAAAAGATAAACCACACGATATAACACAGTGTGGGAATATTTCAAAACACTATTCTATACTGTGTAACTTGTGTGAGACTCCATGTGTGAACAGCGTCCCATACTGTGTAACACAGCGTGGAACTCGTTATGAAGAAAACATATATGCCATACTGTGTAACAATCACAGTATGAAACTTTATGTGAACGCACTATTTGTTAAAAAGATATAATACCACACTATGTAACACAGTGTGGGACTATTGGAAAACACTCTACCATGCTGTGTAACTTGGGTGAGACTCCATGTGTGAACACCGTCCCATACTGTGTCACACAGTGTGGAACTATTTATGAAGAAAAAATACTTTACTCTATGTAAACACGCTATCCCATATACTGTGTAATGTATTGTGGGATTCAATGTGAAAACAATATAGCACATTTTGTAACCTAGTATGGAACTATTTGAAAACAGTAATCCGTACTGTGAAATACAGAAAGGTACGACTGTGCTATTCTCCACTATATGTGAGACTCTATTTAAAAAACGATATTCCACACTTTGGAACTTTGTATCAAAATATATTTCACACTATATAATCATGCATGTAAAAACGGTAAAACACAGAATGAAATGGTGTTTTCAGACATTCTCAAACTTTTTTTGTTTTTACACAATATGGAATAGTATCTTCACATAGTCTCACACTGTGTAACAGAGTGAGGAATTGAATTTTCACATAGAGACTCATTACGTGAGTATGTTTAAGTCAAGCCTATCTATAATCATTTTTATCAGCTTTATCAGTGGACAATGGGTTTAACATGGACGGTTTGAGTGCAACTAAATGAAATTTAGTTTAAAGGTACTATGTCCCATTTGTAGGCAAAAAAAATGAAAAAGTTAAATTCCAACTGCATTTGAAAGATGATACTAATTTAGAACTTCCTTAAAAAAGGTGGGGCTTGAAAATGTCTTCAAGTGGGAAAATAACGACGATTAGTTGTCAAATCGACTTTAGTGCTATAGAGCCCAAAAGTAATAGTCTTGATTTTCAGACAATTATTGTACCGAAAGGACATACGTTTTATGCTGCGCAAAGATTCAATCAGTTTAATCTTGGCCATCAAAAGAAGTGGGTTATTGATGTAGACAAATGCTCATGTACCCTTTACAACTCTTTTCATGTATGTTATTACCAAAGAAGAAAAAAAGCCAGTCACTCAATAGTGTCTGACAGTGAAGTCTAGCAAGTAAACGGGTTTCCTTGCATAATTTGAATATGAGGACACTGCTAACATTTAAATTTCACAGATAGGACAAACATGACATATTCATAATTCCTGCAAAGTTCTACAGCATTTGAGGTTTGCTGCAAAAGGGACATAGTACCTTTAAACGCATCAATGCATAATTATCTTTTATCTATCACAATTTACTTTTATAATCTCGGGGAAAGTTCGGCTTTTTACTAAATATATCTTCTCTATTTTGATTCAGTTTTAAATATGTCTTTGTTTGATTGTAATTTGTAATGGTATACTAGCTATTTCTACAAAAGCCTATCTTTAAGTGGATGTAGCTACTGCTCATGTTATTGCCTACATGGGGGTTTTAACATTTATAAATCGGGCCGAAAATTTCGCAACGACTCAGCCAGCCGCTGAATAAGCGGGGGGAGGGGGGAGGGGGGCATATGGAAACGTTGTATCATCTGCTCAATCTGACTTGCGTGCATAGAACAAATAAGCATTTTTCCATGAAAAAGTGAAGTTTTCTAAAATGTGCGTTTCTTTCCAGCATTGGGGCGCCCGGAAGTCACTCGGGTAACATTTCATAAAGTATAATATAAAAAGACCACATGCAAATTTTCTGTACTTTCGTCGGAAAAAAATACATTTATCCAGCACAATGTCGTCTATTTTTGAGTTGAAGAATAACAAATAGCGAGTTTCAATCACACTTTGGCCGCTCTCGCAAGCTCTCACTCGTTTCAATGTGGTCTTCTGGTTTTAAACTTGTTTTGATTGATTGTATAATTATGTCGGAATAAAGGAAACAAAAAGGCCCGGCCAATAACTTATCAGCGTCTGAATTGACCTTTTGACCTTGAATTCCCTGATGCAAGCGCACCAATGAGGTCATCTTCGCTAAATCGGTGTCTTTTATCGTAAAATGCAACACTTTCACAATGTTTATACATCTTTTTTAATTATAAGTAAGATGTAATATATTTTTTCTGATATCACTGAAGTTTGGGGTTTTATTTAATGAGTAATTTTGAAATAAGAGCCATTTTACTGTTTTAATTTACTGGATCGTACTATTAAAGTCGCAGGGTAGAAAGATGCATTTCCAACCGCGCCAAATTTAATTTACGTTCCGACATTCTGTTAAATGGGTTCGTGTTGTTAAGAATCCACTGCTTTCTGCTCCAACAAACGTTCACATGCGGAGTCGTTTATCAACTAAATTATTCAAATTTATGGATGCTTCCTAGCTTCCCAGGTGTTTGTGTTGCTGTTGAAGCATTTTATTCACCTGCTATCATTCTTTGTACTCCAATTGCCAGAACGCAAATTTCATTTTGGTTTTATAGTTTCATCGGAGTCATTTATCAACTATATGTATTCAAATTTATGAATGCTTCCTCCCCAGGTGTTTGTGATGTTTAATGCATTTCATTCACATGTTATTATTCTTTGTACTCCAATTGTTAGAATACAAAATGCATTTTGGTTTTATAGTTTAATACAATAAGTAAGTCAATAAAAGAGTATGTTCTGCACAATAAAAACAATGTGTGTCCCTATTGTACAATGTGATGTGTCCCCTCATTTTGTAATAGTTAATTTACCCATTCACATAATGGAACTACCTGCCCGATGAAGCCAGTGGCATGTGACCCCTGAGCACTCAACACCGTGTGGGAGTCAGTTTGTGGTCAAATTCTTTTATGAGACAAATACCAGCAAACGTTTCCATATGGGGGGGGGGGGGGGGGTAAGAGGACACTTCTTTTTTTTTTTTGGTCTCGAAATTTGAAATTTGACATTTTGCTCCGTTAGGGGGGGGGTTAGGTCACCTCTTTTAGGTCAGCCATGGGGATAATTGCTTTTTTTTTTAATAATTAAAAAAAAATCGAAAGGGGGGGGGTTTAGGGGGGTTATGGGGGGTTTACACACATAAAAATACCAAAGGGGGGTTAACCCCCCCCCCCCCCCCCTCCCTGTGTACGCGCTTGGGACTGACAGTTCAGTCGCAAGCTGCCTTCAGTCTACACACACATACATACAGTACACACAGTGCTGTTGCGCTGTGTCAACCGTGCCGGGACTTTGGCTGAGTGAGGTAGAGTCGAAGAGTATGGGGGCCAAGCAGGCCAATATTCGTACAACTATACAATTACACATACGTCTATCCATCCATCGAAGTACCCGTCAACAAAACAGCGTGCGGGCCGAAGTGCCATATCTACAGTAAATTACAAGAAAACTTAAACAAGGTTATGAATTGTACATTTACATATTAATAGTTCAATATCAACCAGACAGAAGTATGTGACTTCATGCATTGCAAAACAGTTGCGTAATGAGTAAAATCCTTGTTTTTTTTTTTGGGGGGGGGGGGGGGAGTGCTGAAAAAATCTGCATCACCATGCACCATTCTTACATGTTACATGCAGACTTCAAGAAACGTTTTTCAAAGTGTGGGGGGATCAGTTAGATCGCAGCGAGTTGAGTGTTTATAGGCGTAGGGTCCATAGGTTTCAAGGGGCCATAAACCCCCGAAAGCTCACGGGTTTTAGGCATTTAATTAGGGTAAGATCGTAGCGAGTTGAGTGTTTATAGGCGTGGGTCCA